TTCTTAGCCTATTCACAGAGTGTCTCGTGCCGACCTACAGACAGCCGAGAGGCAAAAGACACACATCCTTTACTCAAGTAGAAGTACAGATACTCGTGTCTTAAAATATTATGGTAAAAGTAGAAGTACTGACTAAACTTCTTTACTCAAGTCAAAGTAAAGAGGCTTTGAAATGTACTTCAGTAAAAAGTACCCATAACTAGCAGCTGTTTTAAAGAGTACCTGACCTCCCTTTATATTAATAGAACAATAATGTCATTGTTAGCTAATTAATGTTTCCATGGTGACCAACGGCAACATGACAACGTTTTCATTGGTCCCTCTTCTTTAGAGAAGACCAGGAAATGATGGATACACGGATCGTGTTCAAATCAATAGGCACGCAATGACTCTAAATAATAATGATCACGCCACCAAACACACATTCAGACTAAAGGAACCAGCCTGTTTGGAAAATGAGAGAAGTAGAAAGTACAGGTATTTGAGTTCAACATGTAAGAAGTAGAAAGTACAGGTATTTGTGTTCAACATGTAAGAAGTAGAAAGTACAGGTATTTGTGTTCAACATGTGAGAAGTAGAAAGTACAGGTATTTGTGTTCAACATGAGATAAGTAGAAAGTACAGGTATTTGAGTTCAACATGTAAGAAGTAGAAAGTACAGGTATTTGAGTTCAACATGTAAGAAGTAGAAAGTACAAGTATTTGTGTTCAACATGTGAGAAGTAGAAAGTACAGGTATTTGAGTTCAACATGTAAGAAGTAGAAAGTACAGGTATTTGAGTTCAACATGTAAGAAGTAGAAAGTAAAAAGTCGTCAGAAAAATAAGAAATGGAGTAAAGTACTGATACCAGAAAAATGTACTTAAGTACAGTAACAAAGTATTTGTACTCCACTACTTCCCACCTCTGCAGACGGTGGACATTGTGTCTCAGTGGACCCTGGTTCGTCTCTCACTCTGAGTCTCTGCCCCTTGACATTTCCTCGTCATCATTAATTCACTCGGTGTGTCTGTCTGGTTCACACTCAGCAAACACTCAGACTGGTTGGACTCCTGCTGACACACAGAGGTGAAATGTCAGCAGCAGCTGGAAAACTGTGGAAAATCCATCACTCTGCTTTACTGCTCTGTGTGTCTGGGGACAGCAGGGGGAGACCTATTATTATTATTAGTCAATTTATTGAACAGGTCAGAAAGATTTTACTTTTTTTTATTATAATTATAATTATAACAAAGAGATGCAAAACAAAACAAAAAATACGTTCAAGGTACAAAAAAGTAATGTTCAAAAGGCGCAAGAAGAAGCTTAAAAAACGTTTCTGGTCCCCCCCCTCCTCGAGCGTTCATTTGTCTTGAAAATAAGGTCAGCATCATCAGCGTCATGTTCGTCATATTGTAAACAAATTTACTTGTTTTTGTACAAAACAACCAACAAATAAATAACTTTTACAATGACAAAAAATTACAAATATGAGTTCACAGGTCCTGCTCATAACCATTAACGATTCGGTTTCTAAATAATAGTTTCAGTTTCGATACACTTGTACAATATTTAAATGAGTTTGCAGTGAAATCAGAGTCACCTGAAAGCAGAGGGCTCGCTCTCTGAGTTTCAGTTGCTGAGTCAGGAAGTCCCGCGGGATCTGAGCGAGTCCCAACATGTCCTCCTGCTCCTCGGAGGAAACACATCTACAACAACACACCACTGCTGAGAGACAGGATACACCACGCGTCATGTTGGTTCATCGTGCGTCATCGTGCGTCAAGCTGGCAAGAAATACAATTTTCCACCTGATTAACATCAGACGCTATTAGAAATCGCTTGGACTGTTGAAATTCATTTTTTGCTGTTCTAAATATCTTGAATTGCAATTCATTCAGAATGATGCGGGCAGGATTTTAACAAACAAAACAAACATGGATCACTTTTCTCCGCTGCTGGCATCACTGCACTGGTTACCGGTGTCTTTCAGAATTGACTTTAAAGTGCTTTTAATGATTTACAGGGCTTACCGTAACCCTCCATATTTGCAAGGACACTCAGATCCTACCAAAAGTATGACACAAGAAATCTGGAGAGGCTGCTTTCTGCTTTTATGGCAACTTGGATCTTAGCAAACCCCATATGCATTTTGAAATGTCAATTAAAGATCTACCTTTTTTAAGTGTTTTTTGATTTGGGGTTATTTTGTGGTATCACTGTTACTGTTTTACAGTTGTGTGATCTAACTCTTTCTGTGTTGTTTTTAATTATGTTTCTTACTATTTATTTTCACTCATTCTTATTGTTTTTTTGTATTTGATCTGGCTCTGTAAATTACCTTGGGATGCACCTTGCATGGAGTAATTACATTAAAAAAAACAAGTTCTAACCATTAGAATTAACACTGATATTCTGTACAAACTGTGAAGTCCACTGAGACCAATGTAACATTTATGATATTGGGCTATATAAATAAACATTGATTGATTGATTGATTGAACTTATTCAAATTCAACTTTATGCTATTGCCTTATCTGACACTACATTAGATTTACCAAGGCCTTGCTAAATGATGAGCTACTATTGCTAACTGTTGTAAAAAAGTTACTGTGTGCCCATTTACACACCGTGAAAAGTAAATGTACTCAATACTCAAGTTCTGTACACAAGTACTCAAGAGATACATGTACTTTCATTCTATGCTACTTAGTATTTCTACTCCATTATATTTTGGCAGCAAATATCATACTTTTAAATCCACTTATACAGTTTAATGTACTATCATGGATGAGAGAATGAAAGACATGTGAATACATTACTAACTATACTCAAGTGATATAATATATATTACTCAAAAATGGCCTCTACGGATAATGAGTTATTTTAGATTTGGTACTTTAAATAGACTAATACTTTTATGCTTTTACTTGAGTAACATTTTGATTGCAGGTATTTTACTGTAACAGAGTATTCTTACACTCTGGTACTTGTACTGTTACTCAAGTACAAGATCTGAGTACTTCTACCACCTCTGATTAAAGTAGGTTATCTGGGATCGTCAGTTGTTAAATGAACCTGTCTAACGGTGTGAACGAGGCTCAGAGGAGGACATGTCTCTGATGATGTCTCTGTGTCTCCTCCCGCAGGTTTGGACGGGACGTCGGAGGACATCGACAGAAGGAAAGAGGAGTTTGGACGAAACCTCATCCCTCCTAAAAAGCCAAAAACCTTTTTGCAGTTAGTATGGGAAGCCCTGCAGGATGTCACACTCATCATCCTGGAGGTGGCAGCCATCATTTCTCTAGGCCTTTCTTTCTACAGTCCGCCCAACGCCGAAAGACAGAGTGAGTTTGGATTTTAAACCTTTACATCTTCAGATAAGTCACTTTCCATTACTTGTATTTTGAACCTTCGTGTAGGCATAAACCAGCTATTTACAACTTTTAAGCAGGTTGTTGCTGTTCCAGCCCTCTTGAGATCAGATTTGGCTCTATGTCCCTGAACCAAAATAAGTTTGACACCCCTGCTCTAAGGCTAGCTGAGATTTTAACGTCAAAGCAGAAGTTTCTCACCCCTCCTAAAGTTAGTTGGTCTTGAATCCTCGTGTACAGGAAGGTCGGAGGTCACTTACTTCAGGTTCAGGTTATTTATTTGTACTCCTAGGTAGATTAGGTTTGCAGGTAAAAGACAAGGGATCCATTATGACACAGATTACAAAACAACATAGACAAGTTAACAGACAAAAAAAAGTTCTCCATCACATCTAACAACATTAAAAAACAACTACTACCAACCTGAGCAATCCAGAAAGTTAATAATATATACAAAATAAATAGCCTCTGTGTGACGCTGCTACAATAGTTAATTTGTGCGTTGGCTGCGGGAACAATGCTGTTTTTATACCGCTTAGTTCTACATTTTGGGACAACTAACCTCCTAAAGGAAGAAGCTTAAACCCTGAGTGCACCCTGGGTGTCATCGTCCAATATAGAGCTGGAAAACCGCTGTAACTGTCAGGGTCTCCAGGTTTAGATTTGGCTCATTAATCAATCTGCTAGAAGACTTAATGATCTGACTGAGAGAGTTTCTGCTCTTCAAAGACAGGGTACTAAACCATGACAGTAAAGAAAAAGACAGAATCTACGATTATTATCATGGTTTTGTCAACGGTGGAATAGGACGCTGGTGCTCCTTTTGGCACACAGCTTCACCATTTGCTTCAAAGATACATTTTGAGTCATTTGAGATATTTGTGTGATTCCACTCTCTGATTCTTGATGGCTGCAGTGTTTGGTTAAAAAAGCAGAGTTCATAACTCTAATATACACACTATTTTCACACATATAGTACATATATATCATATGTATATAAGAACCAATATTTATATATGTTCATTTTAATTAATTTCTTATTTTATAGTTAATTTATAATTTTTTGATTTTATCTTAACTGTTTATTAGGCGCGTTCACACCGGAGTACTTTTCCCCGTACTTTTCCCATTTAGTTCCGTTAGTACCCGTTCACACCAAAAAGAGTACTTAGTGCCGGGAACTTTTACCCCCATTTGTAGTGCCTGCTAGAGAGGTGGGACAATCCTGGGGAGAAAAAAGTGCCAATTTCTGATTGGCTGGGCGAATTGCAAACCACGCCCCGAAAAACTCTGAAAAGTTTTGTGAAGCCGCCATTGTATTTGTTGGCATTAGCATTATTAGCATTAGCCCCGCGCACCAACGGAGAGAGACTAACTTATGGCAACACAAAAAAAACATGGGAGCGGTGGAGTGATGAGGAGGTGTCGGCGTTCTGGCGATTTACTCGGAAGCTGCTTCTACTGAAGCCAGTCCCCAACTCCGGGGACTTCCGGCCGGGGACTTCGGTGGCAGTATACGCCGTGAAGTGGTTTGCGGCCTGCCAGTAAACCCAAAGCAGAAGAAGAAGAAGTGACGTCAGCGGCTAATGCCTAATCTTCCCTCAGGGAATTTATTCCGGTGTGAACCATAGGTGTGAACGCGATCTGTACTTAGTGCCATGGGGGTACTAAGTGCTGGCAAAGTAGTTGGTGTGAAAGCGGCTAATCTGTGTGAATCTTTCTTTGCTGTCCTGTTTTTCAATTGTACCCTGTTGCTGTTAAACTACTGAATTTCCCAGTATCAGAATACCTTTATTAGTCCAACAGAGGGGACATTTACATTATTACAGCAGAAAAGAGTCAAAGATAGCTTAATGTTACCTAAGAAGCATGCATACAAAAGTATTAAAGATGCAATAGGTATAATATAACAAAGTTACACAATTTACAAAATACACATCCTGTAACAATAAAGCCCCATCTTTTCTTATAATGTTGACACATGTTAGAAAAATAAAGTAGTCATCACATACAGAGCATCAACTAGTTCCTGAACAGTGTCCTACATGCTCAAGAGAGGGAGTTCCACAGTCACAAGATGGAGGAATAGAAAGCAGTATTCAATGTTTACTTCAGATTAGCTCCACGTCAGAAATGATCATGCTTGTCATATGTCTCTCTCCATAGAGGCTGAATCATCATGTTAATCACATAGCTATCATATGCCTCAAACAGTCCTGATGCTCTTCTAGGTCATCACACATCCTGTCATGTTCACAGCTACAGTTGGGATACCTTTGTTATTATGTTGCTCTCAGATTGGAAGAGGACATTCAGTATTTTCCCAACAGTTAACATAAGACAGTTTCCTAAGACAAAACACAGGCTGGTGCTCCTTTTGGCACACAGCTTCAAAATTTGCTTCAAAGATACATTTTGAGTCCTTTGAGATATGGTTAAAAAAGCAGAGTTCATGACTCTAAGGTCGACACAGAACACTAAACTCCAGCCTCTCGTTGTCTCTGTTCAGACTGCGGCAGTGCGGCCGGCGGCGTGGACGAGGACGGCGAGGCGGAGGCCGGCTGGATCGAGGGCGCCGCCATCCTGCTGTCGGTGGTCTGCGTGGTCCTGGTTACCGCCTTCAACGACTGGAGCAAAGAGAAGCAGTTTCGAGGCCTCCAGAACCGCATCGAGCAGGAGCAGAAGTTCACCGTGGTGCGAGGGGGGCAGATGCTCCAGATCCTGGTGTCAGAGATCGTCGTAGGGGACATCGCACAAGTCAAATATGGTGAGAGATCATAATGCATCCATTATAGTACAGCCAGTGGTGTGAAGACAAAACAAAGATTAACTCCAGTTGTTGTTTTTCGTCTTAGAGCTGAGACTTTAAATCGTGTGTAATCTTAGAGCTGCACCAATATCTCAATAGCTGAAGATCTTATTGAAGGTGTCTGAGTTCATTCATTTAGCTTTTTGTTTACCTGTTCCTGGTATTACAAAATACAAAATGACCCTTTCAATCTAAGTACAAGGATTTTTTTTTTTTGTTATATAAAAAACACAGGAAAGGTTATTTCTATTCATAGACTTAAAAAGAACACAACAAATGAAAATGACCAAAGGGTTCTCCAAAGTGACCTTGTTGATGCTGCAGTGCCCTAAGCCCGTGTCTGCTGGATTGTCTTTCCCCTTTTTTACACATAGAAAATACATTTGGTACAAGTTACAAATGTTCAACAGCTCAAAGCTTAGTCTCTACTATTGTACATCAATTGACAAGCCATACATAGTTGATCGACACTTGAAGGCGTACAGTATTTAAACCACAATTATAACCAAAATGTTAATTCATCATAGAGTCTTCTCTCAGCAGAACATTGGCATGTTGAAAGAAAATGTGTTTTTTTAAATGTGAGTATAGAAAGCTGCAGAAGATTTTATTCTTCTTTAGTTTACAGCATAAAGAATCATCAGAAAGTAATTTAAAGCAACACATTCCCAACTCGTCCAATCGTGACGTTATGTCAGGATCCCTTGGCGTCACCATCAAACACAGTGGGGGGCCCTTTAGCGTCGATCTCCAACTATCGGGGAGTCCCATCGACTTGCATAGAGCTCCCTGAACGTTGGTAATAGACGAGTTGAGATCGCGGAGAAATGCTCTCCGCCGACCCATTCTCACAGCGTTTATCAACCTTACTCAATATCAAGCCAGACTTATTGTTTTTACTTCTTTATTTTAAATGTATAATGTCGGACTTTGTTGCCGTCAGTTAGGGGGAGAGTAGGGGCTCAGAATACTGACATCTGTATTGAGTTGGGAGTGAGAATGTGTTGGAGAGAACCAAACGCATCAGCTATAGTACAGCTCATCGTCGGCTGGAAGTTATATTGAAAAATGTTATTTGACATCTGTATTTAAATCTCAACACCACTATTTAAAAGTGGAATATTTCATTGTTGGTTGTTTTCCTCCATCTGTACTCAAGTGACAGACTTAATGTTGTAACACAGAGACGTGATGAAGGAGAGCTTTTGTTACAGTGTACCTGTGTGTGTTTTGCGGTTCCAGGTGACCTCCTGCCGACTGACGGCATCCTGATTCAGGGCAACGATCTGAAGATTGACGAGAGCTCTCTGACCGGAGAGTCGGACCACGTGAAGAAGAGCGTCGACAAGGACCCCATGTTGCTGTCAGGTAATGAACATCTTAATTATTTCAAGTCAGTTTGCCAGTCGTCTTAACAATTTGTACAGCATATCACACCGCCTGTTGTTTCTCGCCTTGCTTCAATAAGAAAAGAAAAAAATAAATAAGGGACATTGAAATTGAAGAAACCTCAGAAATAGCAGCCATTCATATTAATTCAACCAATTAGTTCATAATTCAGTTTTTACTTGAACAGAACATTTTTCATGAATGTATCCTCTTAATTTTACACTCACCAGATTGATGCATTTGACTTTGTAGGCCACAAAATATTCTTCATAAATGCAAGATTTGTTCAAAATTCAGAGAGTAAGTACATGATCCCGCTTATTACACGGTCACATACTAAATAAACAAAGTATTTCAAGGTTCAAGGTTCTTTATTTTGTCATACGAACAAAGTTACAGTGTAGTTATGCCGATGAAAATCTTAGGTCACAGGCTTCTCCAACAGAGCAACACAATAACACAGATAAACATAAAAATATGGTACAAGTAAATAGTAAATACAAAAAGAAAAATAGTTTAAAAAAGTGAGATAGTGCAATATTTGACGCCAAATATGAATTGAAAATGGGACAACAACAACGTAACTTTAAATGACGGCAGCACTTACAGTATCAAGGTTTTCTGTAACTGTCAAAGTCTATTCACGTTTATTTTCCACTAAGAAGTCCTTAAACACTGCCAGAGCCCATACTGTGTTCCTGTTAGTGTTAACTTCCTGTCTGTCTTCTTCTGCTGTTCGCGTTAGTGTTTACTTCCTGTCTGTCTGTCTGTCTACTTCTGCTGTTCCCGTTAGTGTTTACTTCCTTTCTGTCTTCTTCTGCTGTTCCTTTTAGTGTTTACTTCCTTTCTGTCTGTCTTCTTCTGCTGTTCCCGTTAGTGTTTACTTCCTTTCTGTCTCCTTCTGCTGTTCCCGTTAGTGTTTACTTCCTGTCTGTCTGTCTGTCTGTCTCCTTCTGCTGTTCCCGTTAGTGTTTACTTCCTGTCTGTCTCCTTCTGCTGTTCCCGTTAGTGTTTACTTCCTGTCTGTCTGTCTGTCTTTCTACTTCTGCTGTTCCCGTTAGTGTTTACTTCCTTTCTGTCTGTCTTCTTCTGCTGTTCCCTTTAGTGTTTAATTCCTGTCTGTCTTCTTCTGCTGTTCCTTTTAGTGTTTACTTCCTGCCTGTCTTTTTCTACTGTTCCCTTTAGTGTTTACTTCCTGTCTGTCTTCTTCTACTGTTCCCTTTAGTGTTTACTTCCTGTCTGTCTTCTTCTGCTGTTCCCTTTAGTGTTTACTTCCTGTGTGTCTTCTTCTACTGTTCCCTTTAGTGTTGACTTCCTGTCTGTCTTCTTCTACTGTTCCCTTTAGTGTCTACTTCCTGTCTTTCTTCTTCTGCTGTTCTTCCTGTCTGTCTTCTTCTTCTGTTCCCTTTAGTGTTTACTTCCTGCCTGTCTTCTTCTGCTGTTCCCATTCATGTTTACTTCCTGTCTGTCTTCTTCTGCTGTTCCCTTTAGTGTCTACTTCCTGTCTTTCTTCTTCTGCTGTTCCCTTTAGTGTTTACTTCCTGCATGTCTTCTTCTGCTGTTCCCTTTAGTGTTTACTTCCTGTCTGTCTTCGTCTGCTGTTCCCTTTAGTGTTTACTTCCTGTCTGTCTTCTTCCAACGCATCGTCCAATGCTGCTTTTAACCTCTTTCCTTCTCTCTTGATCGTCCTTAGCAATGTTCATTATTTTGCTTAGCAGCGGTGTGTTATTGCTTATTAACAACCTCTGAAGTGTCCAAATTGACCAATCAGAATCGAGTATTCAACTTAGCCATGTAATAATCGCGTTTATAATGTCTATCTCAATATTGTAATTGTGATTCGCCTTAATCTCTCTCCCAGGTACCCATG